ATATATATCTTTAAACTTGTTTTTGACCCAGTTGAGGCTGAATTAGGTGACATCACCTGAGGCAGGTTTTATATTTAGTGCAACTCCCTCAACTTAAAAAGCCTTTGCAGATTTTTGTGTGAACTTTAACAGGATCTAAACACACAGGTAAAGTTGGTTTTAATGTTTAACCAAATGCTTTATTAGAATATTRAAACATGCTATAGTCCATAAAATAACCAACATTCGGTCTGTATTAAATGTAATTATCTTGTCATTGCACAACCAGTTCTCGTTATATGCTGATGCACATCAGTGTTCTCATTCATGTGTCAGCTTTGAGTCATTTCCATCAGATGTCGGAGCGCTGCCTGTTACTCACTGATGATCAGAGGTGTAAATGATTTTACACGACGCCATATGTTCTGCTCTCCCTCCTCCTTTCAGGATATTTCTTTGCGGATTGAATGATCTGCTGATTCACCCAGATTTCAGTTCTGCTTCTGTTCTTCTCTGTCAGGGTCTGACTGGTCGTCCTGGTGATGCTGGACCTCAGGGCAAAGTTGGACCCTCTGTAAGTGCTCCTTTCGTAGCTTAACTGCAATTTGCTGTCCGTTTTTCTGCCGGAGTCATTTTACTGTTTTGTTATTGTGCTTTACTTTAAATTTGGATCACAGGCCACCGCAGTTACATTCATTTTGCTTTGCTTAGATTCTGTGAGTCCTAATAAATGCCTGATGTTTATAACTGAACTCTTCATCAGGGCGCCCCTGGTGAAGATGGCCGTCCAGGACCTCCAGGCCCTCAGGGAGCCCGTGGACAGCCTGGTGTCATGGGATTTCCTGGACCCAAAGGAGCAACTGTAAGTACTCATGATGCCAAGCAAAAAACAATCTTCTTCAGTTTGGTGTAATATTCCAAGACAGTTCAGACATTTGATCTTATCTGTTCTGAATAAATATTAAATTGGATCGATATCGTCCATCGCTTTATGAAGCACCTTCGTTTTATGCAGCATGCACCAGCACGTGCACTATCTCCCCTCTAAAAATAGATGGAGCACAGAGGGGGTTTTGATTGACAAATGCATTGTGTCTTTTTTATTAGGGGCTAGCTGGCAAGTCAGGTGAGAAAGGACTGGCTGGAGCTCCTGGTTTGAGAGTAAGTAGATTTTTATTATTCATTTATTTATATATATATTATTTTATTTTATTTACCGGTATTTATTTTTTTACTAAAGGTGACACACATCAGCCAAATAGGTTTGAATTAGACTGCAGTAATAAATCATATAATCATTGTGAACTTATTTCCATTTTTATTTATTATTATACATAATATTTGACCTATTTTATGATTCTTGTGGATTTCTCATTAACAAATGTATAGATATCTATATGAGTAAATCACAAAATAGAAAAGCAATTTAATCTTATTTGTAACTCAGATAAATAGAGCTTGTGAAAGCATTTAGTTCAGCCTCCACATACAAAGGTTTGTGTTGAAAAGCCCAGTTTTAACCCTGAGATGTTTGTGCAGCTAATAGCATCACCTTTGGTTCTGCCTTAACTCCTGATGTTTATCTGTCCCCGCACATCAGGGTCTGCCTGGCAAAGATGGAGAAACCGGCTCTGCTGGACCCCCTGGCCCTGCTGTACGTATCTCCATCTTCCTCCCTCCGACTCTATAGCTTCAACACTGATTTTATCTCCTTTTCCAAGTCCTCACTCAGAACCACTCTTCGGTATCTCGATTTCCCAGACGGTCTCCACAATAGCTTTGTCTAGGGGAACAAAAAAAGTCCTTGACGCTCATGTCTGGACACGATGAGATTGGAGACCCGACTCAAAGACCCTCATCCTGTTTGTGTTTCACTGCACTGAAAAAGTCTATTTAACATAAAAGCAGAACTTCGTTATATATGAATAATGATTTGAGAGTGGCATCGTTTCATGATTTCCTACCATTATATCCATTAAAATGAAGTCAGGGAAATGTTCTTGCTAATAGAATGTGATGATAATGGACTGTGGATTATCTGTTCAGGGCCCTGCTGGGGAGAGAGGAGAGGTGGGACAGCCCGGTCCATCAGGCTTCCAGGTGAGTCTGTCTACTTCTACCTTATTGCTTATTAGGCTCTGAATATGTTTTACTCTTAATTTGAAATCAACATATTTACTGCAAAAAATAAATTTTACTCAGTTTGTTCCTTAATATGCTTCTAAGTTCTGTTTTATTTTGTCCGGGTTTCTGACAAAACATGATGGTTTAAGTTTAGGGGWTTTTCAAAGGATGTTTCTGTGAACACTTTAGAGAAAAAGCAAACTACCAGGAGTTTCTAGAGATCAGCTGTTTGTGGCGCAATAGAAAAACAAGACATATTTTTTACACTTAAACATAATGTTAACTATGCAGCTTTGCATTTGCTGCATTCAGGGGTTATTCCTGCTGACAGTTTCTTCTTCTGTCCTGTGTGCGCAGGGTCTTCCTGGACCTCCTGGACCTCCTGGAGAGGGAGGCAAACCTGGAGACCAGGTTGGTGCAYGTCTTTTCTGATGAAACGTGATTGTAAGGTTCACGTCATAGCAGTAGAAATAGTAGCTGCATTACTAATAAAAGTACTTTTGTTCTGCAGCTGTTTTAAATGGCTGTATAATGAGCTCTAAATACGCACACACTTTAAATACTCTCACCACTAATGAGCTGATAATTACTTTTACGGTTATTTAGTCATTGTGTCAAATTAAAAACAAAACAAGTACATAACAGATGATCCCTTTTACTCCCGACACATCTTAGTTTCTCTGTCGACTGAATTTAATTTAGCCTTTTTGTTGATAAAGAGACAAAAACATTTGTCAAATGATATAGCCATGTTGTCTTTTTTTTCTTATATATATTTTTGTAACTTTTTTTTGCTTGTCTTAAGGGTGTTCCTGGAGAGGGTGGACCTGCCGGTGCCACTGGACCCAGAGTAAGTTCACAGACCTCAGTTGATTTCACTAAGTTCTGGTCTGCTGAGTATTAGATATGCTCTTAATTATAGCTGTGACTTTTTTTTATTTTTTCAGGGAGAGCGTGGTTTCCCTGGAGAGAGAGGAGCTGCTGGCACTCAAGGTCTGCAGGGACCCAGAGGCCTGCCCGGAACTCCTGGAACCGACGGACCCAAAGTGAGTTCAGCAACCGGAGGACAGTGTTCAGATTATTAAACACTTCTCCGTGAAGGTTATTCACTGGAAAATACGTTTTTTTTTATTTTAATGCAACAGCACACACACTGCAATTACCTCAGGGATTTGGAAGTTGAGTCGGGCAGATTTTATTTTATTAAAAATATTCTGTAATGTTGGGGAAAAAACTATCAAGGATGTAAACAACTCACATGTTCTGCTTGTGAATTATCAGAGAGGTCTGTATTACATCTGGGCCATGAAACAGCGTCATTTCAGTCCGTTTGATGATGAACATTTCATCACATAAGAGGGAATTACATTTGGGCTGTCTCTGTGGTTCAGAGGCAGCTACTCCAAATTAGAGTTACTGTGTCAAAGATGATTAACCGGAGAACAAAGCAGAAATTGTGTTTCTGATTTATGAAGTTCTGCTTGATTTTCTGACTTTTTTAAGTGGTTGGTTTAGAAAATAATTTAGTGTAGGTGTGACTACCTAAACTTGTTTTATTTTTACAAAGCTGGACTTTCTTTTCTTATCATTTCAAGTGGTCTCAGTAAAGCATTCTCCAGTCTTTCTGAAGGTTGTTGTTGTTTGTTTTTTTACTCATTTGCAGTCCAAGTTTTGTATTTGACCATGAARATAAGAAAAGTTGACAAGTGGAGGATTACACATCACTATGGCAGATGAACAATATCTGAACTTTATGTCTTTAAGAAATAAGAAGTGCCTCTGGAAAACCTGAAGAACTATTGCTCAGGATCACTTTGATAGATTTCAAGAAAGTCTGGATACTTTTACAAAACATGTACAAATAAAAAATAAAGAAATCCCACTTTTTCCTTTAGATTTTTGTACAATATGTTACTTCAGCTCTTCACCTCATATTTTCCCAAATCTATACCATCCAAAACTGATTTCCTTTATTCTAATTTTACATTTTAAACTCACAAAACCTTTTATGTTTTAAGAAGAATATCCTTGTTTTACATTTCTGTTGGTAACTTAATATATTTCCAGTAAAGTCCTTCACTTCCTCATCCACAGCAGTGATTTGTCACTGCTGAGCTGTGAGCAGTGGAAGAGCTCAAAGCAATGACAATTCACATTTTTAGTTTATCAGCTCAGATTTTAATCCCACTTTATAGATTTTTTTTCTCCCCATAAGGTCAAACGAGCGGATAGAGAGGATGAGGATTAGAACCAGCATGTATGTGATGGGGATTTAGCCAGGGGAGTGGGGAGGGGTGTGTGTGTGTGGGAGTGTGAACAGGCAGTCTGTAGGTTGGTATTAAAGCACAATCATTTGCTGCACAAGCCTCACAGCTTTGTACATCAGTCATCTGCTCCTTTAAGTTAGAATAAACAGTGATTTCAAAGCACCGACAGCCCAAAACTGATTGTTGTGTTGGGTCCTGCTGTTAGCTGTAATGACTGGAGATAGGGAGCAGATGCTGTGTCGCTGTGTTTGTGCATCTCAGGCTGCAGCAGAAAGCACAGATGACAAGACACTTTAAAAAAAACTAAAAGTGCTTTTGCTTTCATTTTATTGTCTTTGATCTGTAGAATTGATTGTGTTCTAATAAAAAAAATTATTTGACTAAAATAGAATTAAAGGTGGTCCTGTGTGAAATAATGCTTTTGCTTCTAAGACTTATTTATTGATAGTTATTTCTTTTTTGTGTGATTAGAATCAACATAAAATGAAATCTGTTTTAGTCTCTAACCTTTCTTTCAGTCTTTATACAACCTTGTACGCAACAAGACAAAAGATTAAGAAGTCTCTTTTGTTACTTCAGATGTGTTCTTGCTGTGAGATGTCACCATTTTTGTATTTTTTGACATTTATAAAAAATAAGAAACATAAAGTCTTGGGAAAAAACTTCCTAAATGTGTCAAAATATTAAAAAATAAATCTTGTTTCAAATCATTTGATGAAACCTGCTGCTTACAGGATATAAAAGCATAAAGTACAGACTGAGTTCATGGCACAACTCTTTGCTGCAACTCATCTCTTTTTATTTGTGATCTGTCACAGGGAGCTATTGGACCTGCTGGTGGTGCAGGAGCTCAGGGACCCCCAGGTCTGCAGGGTATGCCTGGAGAGAGAGGAGGTGCTGGCATTCCTGGACCCAAAGGAGACAGAGTAAGCTACAAACCGAGCCTTTAAAAAAGATGAATATGTACATGTTAAATATGCAGATTTTTTTTTCATCTGCTTGCGGTTCACACATGTTCTCTGTGACTGACAGTTTTCTTTTGTTGATCCCTGTAGGGCGACATTGGAGAGAAAGGACCTGAAGGTGCTTCCGGCAAAGATGGTGCCAGGGTGCGTGACAAGCATTTATTTTATTCATTTATGAAAATCAATGCTAAAAACAGGCAGAACTATTTAAATGTGTCATCTAAATGTTTCCTTGTTACAAATTTTGAACTTTATTGTAGGGTCTCACTGGTCCCATCGGTCCTCCTGGACCTTCTGGTCCAAACGGTGAGAAGGTGAGTGTTAGTTTTCTTCCCCTGGAAGTTGCATCACCACTGCAGCCTGTCGATACTTGAGTGCCAGTTTGTGACTGACTGCATGTAAAACAGCTATTTATAGCTTGACATTTCTCACTGATGATGGTTCTGTGCTTCTTGTAGGGTGAATCTGGGCCTGCTGGACCTTCTGGAGCTGCTGGTGTTCGCGGTGCTCCTGTAAGTGTTACAATTTATTTTAAAATTGAAGTTTTTATAACAATATTTTGTACGATATAACAAAAATGAAGGGAACAGTAAAGGATAAAATACACAAATAGCCTTTAGGACTGAAGATTTATTAAAATTTTAAAGTTAGAAAATTAGTTTTGACAACAAAAAACTCTAATTGTACCTTTTAATAAACATAAGGTGTAGGCTGATAGGGGTACGGCTGTGTGGTGATTTGCACTGTCTGTACTTTACATGAGTATTTATTATATTTATATTTTCAATGGTAAATAAAAATGAGCAGAAAATACTTATTTTTTACGTTCAAGGTAATAATCAGTTCTACCACCACATTTTGAAAGTAAATCTGATGTCTTCTGAAGAGGTGAAATTATTTTATGACTTCATTTAATTTGCTCTATTTATCCTCCAGGGTGATAGAGGAGAGACTGGACCTCCTGGACCGGCTGGGTTTGCTGGACCTCCTGTAAGTGTGACTTAGAAAAACAAAACCTGACAACATTCGATTGTATTTCTGCAGAAAAACAAGAACTCAGAGCTGCAGATTAAGAAACAAGAGAAATCTTGACTTTAAAGCTATTTTTAGTTTATTTATTTCAGTCCGATCATAAGTAATCATTACTGCAGTGATCTAAACAAATAACTTTATTTTATTTAGACAACATCTTACATGTTGCACATAATCTACAGGACAAATCTACAACATAAAGACATTTTACTAAAATATATTTTGATTGACAGTTGATTTCTAAAGAGCTAAACTTTCTTGTAAATGTTTTAAGTAGAGTGACATGAGAAAAAGAAAGTTTTGGTAACATCAGGGATAATTTGAGACTTTTGCACAGCACTGTCCTGTTTATCCTAAACTTGCACGGCAGTGTTTTGTGGATTTAGCAAYAAAGTATCCTTACAGACAGATCATTTCAGACGTGTTCATGCACTGATTTCCACAGCAGAAATTACTGTTTGTTTTGCATTTCTGCCTGAGGACCAGAAGATAAGAGATTCWGTAAAGATTTTCCATTTACCGTGTCGGTCCTTGTGTGCAGAGACTTTTCCATATAATTTGACTCTTTTGATGATTCTATGTGCCGTAGAAAAGACGCTCAGTTTTTGTCCACACGGTCTTTCACAGAGTGTTAAACTTGTTTCCTTGTTTCGGCCCCTGCTGTTTTGAAAAATGCTGCGGGTAGAAATTCAAAGCAATTAGTTTGGCTATGATCCAAAMGTTGAACTGTTTTCTTTCTTATTTTCAGTCAAAATTACTGCTCAAATGATTCTAATGATCTTGTTTCATTTAGACGTTTTCCTTTTTTTTTCCAGTGGTGTTATAATTTCAACCAGTTCAGAATTTTTAGTGAAAATATTTAATATAAAATGGACAATACTCAAAGGACTCCTGCAGAGATAATACAYGAAAATAGGCAACTATTCAGCTCGATGATAACTTGTCAGAAAAAGCATTTACCAGAGCTTTTATCATTATGTCTGAACACGGGAATTCTAATGAAAAAACTTAATTTGTTTTTATTCATCTAAAAAAATCACGAGACAGCTTTAACACGTGTTTTTACTTTGTCAAAGAGGGACACAAAATGACATAAATCTAGTCAATTTTAAGTTTTGTTGCTGCTATCTGAAAACACTTTGACGCTTTTGTGAGTGTTTCAGACTTCCATCAGTTCATTATTCTGTCATGTTTCCCTGGTGAATAATTATGTGGAGAAGATATTAGTTTGTTAGGCTGTCACAAGTCTTAGCATTTTTAGCTCAATTTCTTTTCCCCGCAAAGTCTCCAGACAGACATTTAACAGATGGTTTTCATAAACCACATCCTTTCAAATGCGTTTCATCAATTTGTTTCTTACAACAAAATTGATCTTGGGGCTTTTTTCCCCTTCAGGTTACGCTGTGATTAATTATAGATTTTGTGTCAAGGAGAATACCTCTACCACATCTGTAAATATATACAAATATACATTGTTCACAGCTCACTCACAGTAGCGTCACATCACAACGTGTCACGACACGACAGATTGCATTCTGTCAAAGAAAAAAGTGAAAGAAACGTATCTGTTTCTACATTTTGTAAAGAAGATCTTGAATATATTTAAAACCACTTCATGTTACATTAAGCTGATTGATTTCTGGCTGAAAATGATCATTAATGACATTATTTTGTAATAATCGCATGATCAACTACAGCATTAGATACTCAGACCTGGCTTTGTAGTTTAGGTTCGGTTTCCTCCTCCAGTTCAGATCCTGTGTGGTAAAGACAGGGTGGCACYAACACAACAAAACACAACTGCATGTGATTTTCTTTCAGGGAGCCGATGGTCAGCCTGGAACCAAAGGAGAGCAGGGAGAGTCTGGACAAAAAGGAGATGCTGGTGCTCCTGGACCTCAAGGACCATCTGGTGCCCCTGGACCTGCAGTGAGTGTGATTTTTATTGTATTTGTCTGTGCTAACACTGTTGAGGTGTTGAGGGGATCCGTTTTGGTGGTCTTAGGATCGCATCTCTGCTTTTTGTGGATGATGTGGTCCTGTTGGCTTCATCGGAACGAGATCTGCAACTCTCGCTGGAGCGGTTCGCGGCCGAGTGTGAAGCGGCCGGGATGAGGATCAGTGCCTCCAAATCCGAGGCCATGGTCTTGAGCCGGAAAAGGGTAGAGTGCCTTCTCTGGGTCAGGGGGGTCGTCCTGCCTCAAGTGGAGGAGTTAAGTATCTGGGGATCTTTAAGTATCTGGGGATCTTGTTCACGAATGGGGGAAGAATGGAGCGGGAGATCGACAGGCGGATTGGCGCAGCGTCTGCTGTAAAGCGGGCGCTGTACCGGTCCGTCATGGTGAAGAGGGAGCTGAGTCAGAAAGCGAAGCTCTCGATTTACCAGTTGATCTACGTTCATACCC